GTGCACACACATGCATTCACATACAATTACTTGCTATGCACCAGTAGGGCAGAGAGAGGCCAGCTGACAGGAAGAGGAGTGTTCGTACTTTGACTACATTCAGCCGGGCCCCCGCTCCCTGTGGAGCTGTGAGGAGTCGTGCACAGGTGCAGTGTGTTTGTGGTGTGTCTTTCAGGAGACAGCTGCTGTAAAACGGTTACAAATTCTTTCAATTCAGAGTTTAAGAACTTTTCTTTATTTGCAACACTCAATTTCCTTTCGTTTTGTTTGGTTTTGCCCACAACAGATATCGCAAGTGTTGCTAACGATGGCAGGAGTTACGTAACAACGGTATGTGTGTTTGTTGCAGTGAAAGTGGCCTAAATTGCACTTTTAAGAAATGTAATTTTCTAGAACCTTCTCTACATCAACCAGTTTTAAGCAAATTTGCAAAAAAGAAATTAATCTTTGGGGGAAAATGTTAAACTTTTATATTGATGGTAACCTTTTCAGTAGAATGATGGACTGGACCAGATGTACAGTCCAGGAATGTGGTGCCACGAGGTAAAGTGAAGGTGCAGTGGATCCCAAACTTTCTCTACTTTCTGGGCCCCTCTATGGTTCAGTAAAACTTTCCGTTATTAAAAATAAGATCTTAATTTGCAATATTTTGATCAGGTATTCATTTTGCACCTCCTTCAACTAGTCTGTTTTCTTGCCGGTCACTTGTTAAACATTTACAGGATTCAGCAATATGCTGTGTTACATATAATCATTCCATCCCCCCGCCCCAAGGAACAGCACTGCGCCCCACACTTTGGGAACCTCTGGTGTAGTCAAACAGAGACTTAAACCAACAACCAACACCTCTCTCACAGCAGACGTGTCTTTCTCTTCACTCTGCTGTATCTGTTCATAGACACAGACTGATCAGAGTTCACCATCAGTGACACACACACACACACACACACACATACAGTGGTCTGCCGTGTGTTGCTGAGGCCAAGCAGGGGTGAAGGTTACAGATAGTAAGGATCAGTAATCGTGACATCGTCCTCCACAGTCAACTGGAACTGCAGGAAGCTACAGATCCTGATGAGACGTCTGTGTTTTATTGTATGAATTAACTCTGTTAAGGTCATTTGATTAAAGCTGCTGCCACAGCACATGTCCATTAACCAGGCCCTGACCCCCTGGTAATGCAGTAAGGCGTGCTTCATGTACGTCTTAACCTTGGTCAGACCTCAGGTCCGGTTTTGGTCTATTTAGAAAGTATGTGGCGTTTGTCTCAGGATCAAATGTGAGAAGTGAAAAGTTTTTAAAAGTGTTTTTAAAAAATAGCAAGCAATGAAAGAATTTTTTTTAAAAAACAAATAATAAATCTGTCCCTGTGTCTCCAAGCTGTGATCCTGTAGGAGTTTGGTAACCGTTTTGGGAGTTCCGTAAACTTGTCCCTCCACTCCAGTCAGTCTGTAACCCCTGGTTTATTCTTTTGTTTTCCGGTCCGTGCTGTTCTACCACAAACTTTAGTTTAATAGTGTTTGAGTCAAAACAACAGAAAGTGAACCGCAATTTCCAAAAAAAAGTTACTTCCCCATGTTTGGTACGAGGCCCTGGAGATACGAGGAGAAGCTGGTGCCGGTGATAAAGCTGCAGAACAGAACGGGAATGGGAATATCAGGTAATGACACAAAGGATTTGGATCTTTTCCCATTTTTCTAAAGAGGTTTTACGTTGAAAATGACAAGTGAACGAGGTAATAAAATATTCTATAACTACCTACCAACATTAAAACATCTAGGCGATATTCGCCAAACTACCTCCAGAGATTTACAAGGCCCTTAATTGCTATAATGCCTGATTATCTACATACGTTTTAAGTAATGAGGAAAGATTAGTCAGAGTGACAGACAGCAAACTGCTGTTTTGCACCAACAGAAAGAAAGAAGCTGAAATGATGGGTGAAGCAAAGGTAAAGGTAAGGATCCTGATGAAATAGTTCAGCCTCACTTTGTCCATTGACTCTTTACCACATTTGACATGATGTGATGAAGTTTGAAATTTCTGATTATAAATGCCAAAAATCTGTGTATACGGAGGCCATAACACAACACTGGTAAAAAACTGTTTAGAACCCACTGGAGCAGCTCTGTAACGGTCTGAGCTGCATTAAGATAGTAGTTTGGATAAAACCATTATTGTGTGTTGTATATTTGGAATGTCCAATGTTCACAGCAATGGTTTTTATAGTTTAGTGCTACAACAAACCCAAAGGCACAGAAAAAAAACAAAAACTATAAGAGTTACATTTCGGAAAATGTCAGTGCTCTGTTAGCATCAAATGTCATGGTACGTTAAAAAAGAACTGAAATTACAAATCAGTGAATTTTCCCAAAGAGAACATCCCAGTGCTTATCTATTAAAAAGAAAATCCTAAAAAGAAAATTAAATAAAAAACATGGCACTGTACCTTCTTAGGGGGCCCATCCCTTATTTTGGGAACCATTATTTTAGACTATGGTACAACCTCATTTCTTAGAATCTGAGAGTTATTGCTGCTGTGCCCTTGTTGACCAAGACGTCACTGTTGTGGTTTAAATGGCGACTCATTACTGACACAGCTGGAACCGCCGCTACTTGGTCATCGGTGCTTGTAAAGTCTGCGCGCGTTGTTGAGTCTGTTGACACTGACGTTACCGTTGGTTGTTATCTTCTGTCTGACTGACATAAACACTACATTCCCTGGTTTTTAATCCTAATTCTGCTTCGGCTTTAAAAATATCTTGAGCGCCACGTTTTATCTGTTCCACCTTTTGTTTGACATCTGAGGAGCAATTTACGTCGTTAATAAGTCATTTTTAACTGTGTTTAATGTTTTCCCCTCAAGTCAGCTCTGATGCACTATAATGGGCTTCGCTGCACGGCCATAACTTCTGAAGCTAATAAACCAGACTTTCAGAAAATAAAGTACACTTGTTATGCAGACAGATTGCTCTTCACAAGGTCATCATCCCACGAGCCTGACTTGTTCATTAAAACAGCGAGAGTGCGGGAGTTGATCAATAGTGACCAGACGTCGCCAATCTAATTCAAGAATGAAAGGAGACACTGATAAAAACGGCCCATTCTTAACACATTCCATCCTCCGTTTTCTTTTTTGTTGTTTTTTTTTTTTTTCCAAGACAATTTTCTATTTCATGACAACGGCGAGCTCTAATTTCTCCTGGGAACCACAAGCTGCTGCTATCTCAGCTGTGTTTACTAATCTTCCCTCGGCACCAATTTCTCAGCCCTACAAAGTTAATGCTGGTCCGATGTAAATAGCCTTATCTCATAAAGTCTTGTTATCCCCCACCTTGGCTGCACATTGTGATACAGGGTTGAAAGTGAACACGGGGGGAATTAAGCCACAGAAAAAAAGGGGGGGAATAAAATAAACATTTCGCCTGCCAGTCGCTGCAGTGGGCTGATTTACATGAAATAATACAGCGAAATGTCAGGATGCACTTGACGGAAGCACAAAAGAGGCAGGAACGTGAGTTATATATTGCGGCTCATGTGCAGCTGAAGGAGGAGGGACTAATACATTCTGGAGAAACCGCCTGCAGAATTTCCCAACTCATCTCTTTTAGAGTCTGATCATGTGATTCTGTCTCCCCCTGTGCTGAGACCCTGTCCTGCCTCAGTCCACCTGTGCTACACTCCTCTACTGAATCCTGGGATTGCTTCAATAAATGCTACGGCAGCAGGTTTTAATTAAACCCACAGGGAAAATTGTTAATTATTGCATCGCCTGCCGAGAACTGGCTCATGGCTACGGGCGAATTTTGTTACTCGAAAGTAGATGATACGCAGGTGTACGAGCTGCAGTTTGTGTGTTTGGGGGTAAAAAAAGTGTGGGATTTGTCAAATGCAGAATTCTATTTTTAAGGGACGCCCGTGGACACGAAGGTGGTGGAAATTAATATCTAAAAACAACAGCACAAATCCCTGCAGGATTCTTTTGACCCATGGAGACAGATCACTTCAGTCTCAGGAGGACGGACCGTCCCCATTGGCCCACAATTATTGCTTTTTATACGATCAACAGCATTAAACAGTGTCCTATCTGGGCGCTTTAATGTCTGTTCATTTCAGCTTGTGTTGGGTTTTATATCTAGTACTGAAGCATCTCCTCTGCTACGAAATCATGTTTTTCCTGTGTTGTTTTTTCCCCAAACTTTTCATGTTTTTTTTGTTTGTTTTGTTTTTTCCCCAAACTTTGCAGCTATAAAACGTCAGAACTTCCTCCTCTCTTTCCCCGGTGAAGAGAACAGTTTTGTGCAGGTTTTAGTCCCTGGATCATTTAAATTATTACCTTATTAGAACAGTTTTGTGCAGGTTTTAGTCCCCGGATCATTTAAATTATTACCTCATTAAAAAAAATGTGACTGATCGATAAAAGTGCAGTTGGCACCTCAGAAATATTGCGTGGTTCCACTGTGGAACAGATCCGGAGGAGAGACCACTGCTGGGAAGCTGAAACAGCACTCCTTTCTTTGTCCGATCCCTGTAGGTATTTGTTAATGCAGAGATGGAGGAGCGCCTCATAAACTATGCATGCCATCTCCCTCTGGCAACCACCAGTAGAGAGGATGATGGCAGGAAAATGCTGGTTCCCATTAGTCCTGTGGGGCTGGTTAACATAAAATTATCCTTGGGCTTTGCAGGAAGTAGACAAATCTGGGGTTAGCGCTTCATTAAACCTGATGCATAAGGAACACTGGACATCTGTAGGCACTGATTTATACACAGTCACCAGTTTTGAGAGATCTGCCTTAGTCAGTTTATTCTCTTTGACATTAATGACTCAGTAACCAGATGAACGCTAATGAAGCTGGAAACAAACAACTCCTCTTCTTCTATTCTGCTCATTGTTACTTTGAGCCGAGAACGAGATGACGTTTAAATATTTCTACAAAAGACGGGCCCATCGAGGAAGTTAGTAAAAACGAAGAAAAACAAAAAAATTGCCCACTCACCCCGCAGCAGGTCGGAGCTGGCGTAAGGTGACGTGTACGTTCGGAACAACAGCCAATCAAAGTCGTCCTCCTCCCCCTGGGTGAAGTCACACAGATTGGGGTCTGAGTCCTCTTCAAATGTACAGCCAGCAGCTAGAAAAGAAAACAAGGAATTTAAAGAAGGGATTCTTCAAAAGAAAACAGCACATGTAGAGTCGAAGAGAAACTGAAGGATTTGAAGGAAAAAAGATTTTTAATGTTCATAAATAAAAAGATTTTTAATTTGTCTTATAACTTTTTGACTTCCCGTGTTATGTTGAATCCTAATTATGGACGACGGCCACCTGGGCTAATGACAACATGCTCATCAGTGACGATACTTTCATAACAGCGTTAGTGAAATCACTATATTTATAATTGACAATTAAAATATAAAGATTTGACATTAAACATTAATGTTGTCATTAATCAAGATCTTTTTCTCGTCTGAGTTAATTGCACTGCTGCAGCGTTGGTTTTCATGTGGGCTTTATTTTTTAATGATGTCTTTATATACAGGACAACTGGAGAAAGATTAATTATAAATCAAAGATGTCTCCCCGCAGAGCAATCTTCACAGCCCACCACAACTAAACGTGCATGCAACCGCACTAATCACTTCTCTTCCCTCTGAGGTTAAAGCACTGGCTCAGCCACACAGCAGTACATCATCCCAGGGCGACCAAAGACAATGGTCTGGACTCCAACCTTCAGCCACCAACACCAAGTCTTTGACAACATGCAGAAACTGTATCGTTGCCCTCTGTCAGCAACAATCAGGCGGTGATTCTGTCACCGTCTCCATGTCGCACTTTTAAAGACCAGATCAGGAGGATCATTCCTGTGCAGCGACTGCACCAAAGGGAATGTGTTAATGTAGGCACAAATTCTGTCAAATCATCAGTGATGAGCAGCGGAAAGAAGTACGGAAATAAAATAGGTGTTGCTCAAGGCAAAGGTGATACAGATCAAGAAAAGAAGAAAATATTAGTAAAAAAATATATGGATGTGTAATGATAATGCAACATTCACATCAGGAACAACCCGATTTGAATGTAGCATTAGCGACAATTTGGAGCAAAATATTCAATGAATTGACAAAGAAATATATAAAAATAGACCAACGTTTACAGACCAACAATAACATTAAACTGAATATTTGAATTATACCAATATTGACCTTAATTTTTTATAGTAAAATCAGAAAAAAACATATACCAGATCATTACAAAAATCTTTATTTAAAAAAAAATTATTGGCCAGAATTTATATGATTTATTTTTATGTATATTTACCAGATTCTGTCCAAATAAAATTACAAAATATTTGTACTGCTCTAAATAGCCTAAAACAGGGTACTACTTTACAACAATTTAGCTCATTCACAAAATAGGCAAAAACAATTCTAACAGTTGGCAAGAGCAGACACCCTGGGGAATCTAACCTCATCATAATACCTCACAACCTGTTACTGCAGCAGCCAAAAAAACTAATTATTAAAATAATATTTAAGAGTTATGGCTTCCTTGTCTCTGGGGTCCAGGAAATGGGCTGCAGTGAATGCTCTTTGCATCTGTGGCCATATTTCACATTAGTCCATCAGTGTGGGGATGACAGTGCAGCAGTGAGCAGTGGACCTGCACAGCCCAGTCTTCAGAGTCTGAATCAGTAATAAGTGAAGCAGAAAAGCACGAGATGCAACACAGTAATGACAGGAATAGGCAGCGACTAAGTCTGAAGGTGACCTGCGTGGGTTAGGGCTTTATTGCCGCTCCGTCTTCTCTCTAATCTGCCATTAAACAAATGGTCACGATATCACAGGCTGCAGGTAATGTGGCGCCAGGATTTTAGTTCTCATTGTCTGAGATTACTGTCCGTTATTAACAGGTTAAAGTGTGATTAGTGCCACAGCACTGACAGAATATGAAAATAACTGACCCTCCAGAGGACGCACAGGGAAGCAGCTGTGTGAAGCAGCCCTTGGAATCTGTCGGGAATATTCTTCTAAATGTTCTCCTTCCATAATGACCAGCATTTAGTAGAAGGAGGTGTTAACATGCATAAAAATTCATGATCCCATGCACACTTCAGCAAATTATAGAGCAAATATATATATATATGTATATACATATACAAATACATACATATACATATATAAACATATATGCTTATATACTGTATGTATGTATATATGTGTATAAATTTACAGATATACATATATACACACATATACATATACAGGTAGTATAAAGATATACATATATGTGACTTTTTCACAACACTTTAACGCAGTGTTAACCTAAACATTTCTCACATCGGCCACAGTGAAATATCCAACATATATTTGTTCGTTCCTCGTCACTGAGAGTGGATGAGGTCCAAGGTGATGAACCTCCTTCAGGTGCTGTATTTAAGGAGACACAAACACACTGTGTGTGCCCTACAGCCAGTCCATTACATCTGACTTTCACCTCCACTGATGATATGATAAGCTGATGTACATCTAACCATCATGTAAGTTCAAGCCGTGGGGCGACGGTAAGAGCCGAGCAGCAGGAGCGACGGTGTGAGTTTCTCCCTCTAGGTTTGATTTATCGCCCCGTGCTGGGCTGTTACAGCACAGATCTGCTGCCGAGGCCAGGGGTTAATTGTCCCACACTCGGGTCTATTTCTAATAGAACTGCCAGAGATATGGGACCTGACACATCCAAATGCTGCTACTATATTATAGCCTGCTGCTTTGGTAAATGAAGCCTGCACACTCCTCCTTTTACAGTATTGCCATTGAGCAGAACTAGGAAACTGGGATCGCAGGCCAGCAACAGCCCGAGAGTGTCATCTCCACAGAACCCGCCCTGATGAAGTCCGGCTCATCCATCATGACGAACGCCTCACCTCCACCGAGCCTCACTGAGAGGACCGGAGAGTGTGAAGAGTCTTAGCAGCTATTTTTCATCTGATTAATTACACTGGATTTTAGAGCAATGACTGGGGCAAAGTCAAGACACGGCCAGGACTTTGGCTCTGAATCAAACACATTTTACTGTTCGCTTCCTTTAATGCGTTGTTGAATTACATAAATCAAACTCTTGTTATGCAATTCTATGTTTTTTTCCCTTATTGTATGTTTAATGTCATGTTCAATGATAAATGGATGGATAGAACAGTATTAATCCCTTGGGAGTTCCCTTCAGGAAATTAAAGAAAATTAAAATATAAGTAAAAAAAAGTCAACATAATCATGTTCTATCCGTGTGAATGCCAAACGGTAGAAATAAAGAAGCATCTGAAATGACTGAAAAAGCTCCAAGCTGCCACACTTAATGAGGTTAAGGAAACCCAATGAATTCCTCAACACTGATTATCGGTGCCTGTCAGCCAAGTGCATCTGCAGGAAAGAAAAAACTAGTGCAACAGTTGACTGAATTAAACTTGTAACTTGTGAGAGCAATTAATGAAACCGGTCCAATTAACCAACACATTTGTTATTTAATAACTGAAATAAAGATTGAATTAGGGCTATCAAAATAAATTCATTAATTGCTCTAATTTATTTGTGAAGATTAATCAGACGAAAACACACATGATGAATAGTCATAATAACTGAATAACTGTCATACCCTGTGATTAATCAGATTCAACATTTTAAATGTTTGACAGCACTAAATTTGAAACAGGACATGATGGAAGTTAGGGACGATTCCTCATGTTACAACTTCCTCTTAAAAAAAAAAAACTAGTAATCGATCAAATTCCTGGAGTGATTCCATCACGACCCAATCTGTACCTGTCAATTTAAAGTAATGAACTCAGCAGCTCTCAGGTGATTTTTGTTTAAAACTTTTAAATCAGTAAAAAGGTGTTTGCCTCCGATCTCACTTTGTCGCAGCATTTGTGGCAATTGGCAAAAAATGTTTCCAAGTTTTTTTTTTTGGGGGGGGTGGATTTACTTCATCAAAATGCAAATTCCTCTGTTTTTATCAGCAGTTTGTTCAACATGTCAGCCTATTTGGCATTTTTCATTTGTTTACTTGTTATAATCCTCTGCCCTTCGCTCTAATTAGAGCCTCTGCTATGCACAGAGAGTAGCGTCAAAGTCTTTGCTTATCCCCTTTATTTGCATATGTTTTAAACATCAGGACGCTGGACTAAGCCTATTATTCCCAAAACTTTCCACCTGAACAGGTCAAACACAGCCAAACTGGGAGTAAGGGAACTCAACATAGGGGGCGTTGTATCGTATAGAGGAGACTTATTCAATTTACGTTATTTAAATTATTTAATCACACGTTGCCTTGAGGCAGAGATATCATGTCGAATTGACTTAAACTTGAACTAAGTAGATGTTTTGTGATGTGCACTAATCTGGAAATGTGTCTCCAAACATTCCACATTCAGCAGCTTTCTAACGTCACAAGGTGGCGCCGCCCATACTGCCAATAACACCTGCACCATGATCAGCGGATTGATTTACTCGTAAGTGACTTCTGGATCGCTTGGTATTCAGTGTCGGGCTAGGTTTTGTTAGCTCAAATGAACACCAGCTTAATAATGTAAACACTTGAGGTCATCAGTGAGTAGTGGGTCGTCTTCTGTAACAACACAGAGTAGACACTGGCTGAAACATACGCTTAGCTACAATTACGTGAAGACGCCGACGCCATGAACGTTTCCCCGAGGGACCACGCAAGGGAACGACCTCTGCATGTTTCACCGCAAGGTGGGCGGAGCATGCAGAGGATATAAGGGAATATAAGGATATGGCATCATGTATTGAAAGACCACATCCATTCACAAGGCAAGAGGGGGAAAAAAAACTACAACGGGAAAAATCAGAAGAGTAATAAGTTCACACAGCTGGGACCCCGCACGGCTCTGGAGATAAAATCCTCCGGTCTTTGTTGTCTGACACAGATCAAATTCCCTGTGAAAATGCTGCCAATTTCGGAACACAGACCAAAACACTTTGAAGCACTGTCTTATTTATAAAGAAAAAAAACACTTAAGGCTGATACATGGGCTCTGAGAAACTACAGGAAACCGATGCTTTAATGTCAACTCCCGACCCTTTGCCCTTCATTATCTGACAGTCAGAGTGGATAATGAACATCAGC